CGCGGCTCAGCCCTGCGGAGGCCTGGAAGTGCTCAGGTGCTAGGAAGAGCCAGATCCGAACACAGTGAAACTTGTCATAGCTTGTGGGCTTTGCTGGCAATGGCAAAACACAACCAGACCCACGTCAGGAACCAGATTTCCACTGAACTAGTGCTACGGGGATTGCGTGACCTGTGAACGGGAGCAGATCAGAATAGCTCTTCCAGGTGCTCCAGACCTACCCATGGCCCAGCTGCTTCAAAGAATTTGGCCACCCTTTAAGCACCTGTCTACAGGCAGCTCCTCAGTGGCTGTGAATTGCAATAGCTGTGCTGAATGAACAGCAAACATGCTCCCATCTCGCTCATTAATAGGTAGCAGGCCAGACTGCACCCTAATGCAATGTGAGTGCTAACAGCCAGAGCTGTACCAGTGCACACTACCAACCATCTGAGCCTCGTGCTCCAGGGCTTATGCCAGCCTCTAGCTCTCAGAGAGCAGAATGAGCTCTAATGTGCGGGGCACATTATCCCACATCTGCCTCTGCAGCATCCGATATTGTCCACAGTCAGAGACAGGACACCGGGCAAGATGGACCCGAGGACCGAGCCCACCTGGCAACGCCTGGGTTTCTGTGCGAAGCCTCACAGAAAGAATCACTTTCTTCCGACACTGAACAAGGAACTTTATTAGAATTTAGAAGGATTATCCCTAAGGCTACTCTGTTCCTCTTCTGCCTCAGATCTGCCCCAGCCCAGCTTCCAGCTCCAGGTGTAAAGACACCCCCCACATATCCTTCTGAAATCAAAGGCTGGTTTGCACAGATGGTAGCTGGGTTTGAATTTGCCATCTCTTCCCCAGAGAGGGCAGCTTTCCTATGGAGATGGCCCTTTCTGTTAGCCATGGTAGTGAGCGCATAAACCCGTTTCAGGAAAGTCACTGTCTTTGTCCACACTGTCCACAATGGGGCAGATTCTGATCTCAGTTACACCAGCATAGATCCCAAAATGACTCCACTGATTTCATGGGTTTGTTCCAGATTTACACCAGGGTAACTGAAATCAGAATCAGGCCCTAGATATGTCGGTATCAAAAATCTCGACGGTGGTTTCCCACCATTTGAATTCACCGGCTAGTCCACACTCAGCTGACGAAGCTGATAGATTTGACATGACAGATGTTCCATGAACTCATTAAGTCCCCTTTAATCTTCAACTGTCTGTAGCCTACGCGGCTTTCCCAGCCCCCCTCTCCTGGGTTCTGGGCCAGATGTATTTTAAATCTTTCTCTGAGTTTCTCTTTGTTTTTGTGCCAGGCTAACGCAATTCCCCTAGAAGAGGGGCCAGCCCAGAACCTTTGGCCCAGACAGGTTCACGAGGTTCGAAACACGTGGGTCAGATGACCTCAGGGCGGCTGGGGGTGACAGAGAGGCCCTGGCTGAGGCCGGCAGCCAGCGGGGAACCAGAACCTCGCTGGAAGTTGGGGGCATCATGAGCGATGGATCCATTTGCAAAACGTGGCTCCAAAGCCCTGCAGTTTCTTGGCAGTTGGGGCCAAGATTGTAGCTTGCCCCGTTATGCAGGGAGGGAGCCTTTGCAGAGGCTCTCCTCCACCCCAAGGTGGGGCATATCTGTTCTGGGGCTTGGTCCAGGCTCTGCTGTTTGTGATTGTTGCTGTTACTGAGCGTCGGTCGGTCTGACAGAGAGACCTGGGGCCAGACCCCAGATACCTCATGCTGGGTCTGTCCCACTGACGCCAGTATGTACCCCAGTGTGGGGAGAGCTATCCTGGGGGAGGAGAGAGCCCTCTGGGGATCTGTGCAGTTCTGCCTGTGGGAGATCTGGTGCCACTGAGCCACCGATCTACAGACAGCACGGGAGAGATCCCGTGTTAATGACTCCCCAGTTGGGCTCCCCGCACCCGGGGGAGCCGTGTTGGCAGGCCTGGACCCGGCCTTGCTGTCTGTCAGCCTCAGGAACCTATCGTGTGGCTCAGGCCAGGAAAATGAGCAAAGCGTTGAAGGAAGTCTCTGCTAAGCAGCTTCCTTCCCAGCGTCCTCCTCCCTGCCCACCCCTGCCTCTCACGCTTGCTGCTGCCTGCGCCCTGGCCTGGCAGACACCGCTTGGCCTGCTGCCACCAGCAGGTGTTCCCCCGTGTGCTAGCTGGCAACGCTTTGCTCCCTTTCCCCAGCCTGGTGCCATGCTGGCTCAGAGCGAACGGCCACCTCTGCCCCACTCCAGCCTGGTCCAAGCCCTCCCTCCTTGCTAAGGCACAAGCCCCTGCCCCAGCATGCACCATCCTGAGATTGGCATACACAAGAATTAGGAGTCCCACATGTTCACATGACTCCAGGAGCTGAGGCTTTACTAAAAACACCACCTAGCAACACTGGGGGGGTGGTGGGGGGCCTGGAGACAGCACGCCCAGCTCATGCCAAATCAGGAATCAGCCTAGACCTAGGAGGGCCCAGGGCGGTGTTACAGGACATTGAAATGGGTGACAGGGGGACTGACGACTTTGACGGGGCCCACAAGAAATACAGCCGAGCAAGAGAGGGCTGGGCTGGGTGGGAAAGCGGGGCAGGAGGGACCTGGCTGGGCTGGGTGGGAGAGCAGGGAACTGGGCCGGGCTGGGGAATTATTTCTTACTCATACTAGCCATTAATGATTAACTTGGTTTACGGCAGGTCCGGGATGGGTGCGGGGAAGCCAAGAGCCAGGCTGCCACAGGGCTGCAGAAGAGGCTGGGGAGAGCTGGGGCTGGGAAATGGGAGGTCCTGAGCTCGTGAGCCAGGCTGCCACCAACGGCTGGAAGCTGATGCTAGACAAATGCGCCCTGGCCCACGGCTCTCTGGGGCTTTAGGGCAAGCTCTGTGGGGCAGGGCTGCTGTCTGGCAGGGGTCTGTACAGCACCTGGCTCAAGGCAGCACTGACCTGGTGAGGCTGCTGGGGTGCTGGAATAGACACCGGAGGAGTAATAATCAAGATGAATATTTTTAACAGCTGCCTGGTGTGGGGCGCTGCTAAGAGGAGTTCGCCCTTCCAGGTGGCCAGGATGGCTGTGAAATCTCCAGGAGGGGCAGGAACCACGCCCATCCCCTGCCTTGCTCCAGGTGCCGAGGGCAGGGGCTGCAAGAGGTCCAGGATTGGGGCTCAAGGGGAGCAAAGAGATGGACAAACAGCTGGGCAAGAAGCTGCCCTCAGACTCCAGTTGATTTACGGGCCGCCAGGCCAGGCAGGAGCAGGAAGGAGTGAGCGTGGACCCTGGCTAAGGGGCCTGGTGTGCCTTGGAGGGTTCAGCCCGTCACACCTCCCCAGTTCCCTCCGTGGAGCCAGCACAGGCCTCCCCAGGCAGAAGGGACCCAGGTTACTCTCATAGCACCTCCCAGGTCAGTGTGGGGAGGCACCCCGAGTCCCAAGGAGATTCTGCCAAGCCACCCTTAGCTTTCCCGTGCCTCAGTTTCCCCATCCTGCCAGGATAAATACAGGACAGACTGCGAAGCAGTTTGACATCTAGTGTTACTGGTGCAGGACCAACACCACTCCTCAGCTCAGGTACCACGGTGATGGGCACAGAATAAGAACCTACATGGCCGGACTGGAGTGAATCCAATCTAGCTCCTGGCCCCCATGCTCCGCTGCTATGGCTCCCTCCACACTGCCCATGCAAACGCTGCCTCCCCCGCCCCTTCCGCCTCCGAGTCCTCGCTGCCTCTGTGCGAGTGACACATCCATCGATCGCCCACCCTGCTCTTGCGCCGCTCCCCTCAGTAATTTATGCCTTATGCTGACGTGCGCGATTTAACTCTGGGAAGCGCTTTGGGCTGCAGCTTGGCCGGGGAAGCTGCTTGTACAAAGTTGGGCGCAAGCCCATCCACGGGAGAGTCCCCCCTCCCTGACCCCAGCTGCTCTTCAGCTGGGACTGCAGCAAAGTGCCTTCCAGCGTGAGCGGCCCCAAGGGGCTGAGCAGCGGATCCGACATGCCGAGGATATGCCCAAGGCCCTGTGTCACGCCGTCCAGCCCCGCCTGGTTGATTTTGGTGGCAGGAGCTCAATATGGCAAAGAAAGAGGCGGACAGCTGCACCCGGGACTGTCAGCTCATTTCATGAATAGCTTTCCAAAGGATGGACCAGAAATCCCTGGAGATCGACTGCCATTAACCATTGCAGTGCCAGGCTCTGGGCATGGGGCTCTGGAGATGAGGCGCTGGGGTAACAGACAGAGCGACCCTCTGTAAACGTCCATGCTCTGTCTCCTGTATGCAGATACAAGCCTGCTGCTTTCCATCAGGCCCTTGAGGGGCGAAGGGTAATTTCAGGGCCCCGATTCTCCCACCCCAGTGGGAGTTAGCTGTCTCCTTCAGGGGACGGCTGGGGTCCACATTCCAGGTGTGCAGAGAACTGGGGAGGCCGCGAGCTGGCTGCTGTTAGAGGATCCTGGGCGACTTGCCTCGTTTCCTGGGGAAAGGGATGAGCCAGCCAGTTCTGATCCAAAGCCCCCTGACCCTCAGCCCCAAATCAACCCCCAAACCTTCCTGGGGTTTGGATGCACCCTCCCCACCCCATGGGCATTACAGTCACGCTTTGCAGCAACCAGAGGTTTGTCCCCCACCTGCCCTGGCTGGGATCACATGCCAAAGCCATGAAATACCAGGAGTAAAGAGGCCTGACCTGATTTCACACCTATTGGGGGGCAGAGAAACACCCACATTTCTGGCTGTTTCTCCAGCCTGAGCCCATATCAGAAAATTAAATAGACACAAACATCTGCCCTGTCTGTCTGTCTGTCTATCCCCAGACACACCCGTCTCTGTCTCTCCTGACCTAGGGTCCCTGCTAAAGAAGCCCCCCAGAAGGATCTAGAGTTTTCTAACAGAGGAGAAATTTTTCCAACTCAACCTCCCCCCCACCTTTGCAACTGGGCCCCAGCTCCGCGAAGCCAGAGTGTCATTAGGCCTCTCATTCTGCCAACAACCTGCCCGTCCCCTGCCCTGCCAGCGCCCACAGGACACTGCCCCCATTCCCAGCCCCGCTCATGGCTGCAGCCCCAGCTCTCATTGCTGCAAAGGGCCTTGGAAAGTTTGAACAGTCACTGGCACTGCTTGAAGGAAGAGCCCAGCGCTTTGCACTGCGGGGGGGAAGCTCACAGGGGAGAGGTCCCAGCTGGCAAGGGGAGGGCACTCCTAGGGGGAAGCTCACAAGGGAGGGGTCCCAGCTGGCAAGGGGAGGGCACTGCTGGGGGGAAGCTCACAGAGGAGAGGTCCCAGCTGGCAAGGGGAGAGCACCGCTGGGGGGAAGCTCACAGAGGAGGGGTCCCAGCTGGCAAGGGGAGGGCACCGCTGGGGGGAAGCTCACAGAGGAGAGGTCCCAGCTGACAAGGGGAGGGCACCGCTGGGGGGAAGCTCACAGAGGAGGGGTCCCAGCTGGCAAGGGGAGGGCACCGCTGGGGGGAAGTTGGCAGGGGAGAGGTCCCAGCTGGCAAGGGGAGAGCACCGCTGGAGGGAAGCTCACAGAGGAGAGGTCCCAGCTGGCAAGGGGAGGGCACCGCTGGGGGGAAGTTCGCAGGGGAGAGGTCCCAGCTGGCAAGGGGAGGGCACCGCTGGGGGGAAGTTCGCAGGGGACAGGTCCCAGCTGGCATGGGGAGGGCACCGCTGGGGGGAAGCTCACAGAGGAGAGGTCCCAGCTGGCATGGGGAGGGCACCGCTGGGGGGAAGCTCACAGAGGAGGGGTCCCAGCTGGCAAGGGGAGGGCACCGCTGGGGGGAAGCTCACAGAGGAGAGGTCCCAGCTGGCATGGGGAGGGCACCGCTGGGGGGAAGCTCACAGAGGAGGGGTCCCAGCTGGCAAGGGGAGGGCACCGCTGGGGGGAAGCTCACAGAGGAGAGGTCCCAGCTGGCAAGGGGAGGGCACCGCTGGGGGGAAGCTCACAGAGGAGAGGTCCCAGCTGGCAAGGGGAGGGCACCGCTGGGGGGAAGCTCACAGAGGAGAGGTCCCAGCTGGCAAGGGGAGGGCACCGCTGGGGGGAAGCTCACAGAGGAGGGGTCCCAGCTGGCAAGGGGAGGGCACCGCTGGGGGGAAGCTCACAGAGGAGGGGTCCCAGCTGGCAAGGGGAGGGCACCGCTGGGGGGAAGTTCGCAGGGGAGGATCCTGGCACTGCAGCTTTCAGTGCTAGAGCTCCCGCAGCGCCCCAGAAGCTGGAGCGCCACCTGCTGGAGCCCCCAGTCAGCATGTGCACGGCACTGCTGAGAGGAAGATGACAACGTCAGTGCCCCAGCTGGCTCTGGCCCCAGGACGAGGGGCCTTGCAGGAGCCACTTTCTTGTCACTGGGGCAGAATTCTCTGTCCTGACAGAGTCAAGCTATAAGGCAGAGCCCCACCCCAGCCCTATGCCTGGGGGAAGGGCCCCAGCCCTGCATACACCCCAGTGCAAACTCCCTGGCCTGTGCTAACTGGGAGTCGCCCCACGCCTTGACGTGGCCAGGGTCACCCTGCCCTGCCCTGGTGCCAGGCTGTGAGTCAGGCCAGCTGGGAGAGCTGCTGCTGCTTTGCCTTGAAGGGCTCTGAGCTGGCAGCCGCTCGGGCTGCCCTCAGCTGAGCCCCAGCCAGCATGGCAAGATGGCAGCAGCTCTGCAATGTGGGAACAGCTCCCCACTGGGCCCCGTGTGCTGCGGGCAGAGGGGCGGCTGGTTCCTGCCAACCCTGGGCCACGTCCAGGGGCTGCCAGCTGTGTGGAGAGGGAGGGGGGAAGCGGGGAGGGGAGGCACTGCTGGGGTGAGCGAAAGGGGAGCGAGAGGAAAGGGAGAGGGGGCGAGCCGTGGGGAGTGGGGCAGGGAAGGAGGAAGTGAGAGGAGGGGAAGGAGGGAGAGGGAAGCTGGGTGTGAAGGGGCCGCAGACAGACGGACAGGGGACCCCCTCCACTTCCGGGCAGCCACAGGAGGCTCTGTGGGGAGTCCGGCAGGGAGAGTGGCCCCTTCCCTGGGCCTGTGGAGCTGAGTGGGGGGCGCCAGCCGCCCTGCGGGCCCATGGCCTGGGCCAGGGTCCAGCTCCGGCCTTTGGCCCAGCTCTTGTCTCTGTAACGGGCCAAACCACACTGCCGCTGTCTCAGACCCGTCTCTGCCGTACCCCACTTCAGGCCCTGTTCCAAACCAGCCCAGCTGTGCCCGGTGCTGGAGCATGGCACCTGCAGGCTGGGGAGAGCCCTTTTGGGGGAGCCTGGTCTCTCACAAGGTTTCCAGCCCAAGGCGGTGGGATGAGCCCCCTGGCGGCACCTCTAGGGGTCTGACTCAAACCAAGCCGCCCGGCTCCCCCAGTCTCTGGGGAGGCTCCCACTGGGATAGAGCCTGAGCTGAGGCCTGTGCCCCCTCCCTGTGGCTGAGGAGGGCTGGGCGTGGGTACTGCCTCCACCCGGGCAGCCTGGGGGGGCTCATGGTTTAGGGGGGCAGCACCTGGCTGCATTCTCGGTTCCCTCCCCCTACCCCCAGGCTTCAGCCTTGTCCCGGGGTCCCCTCCCGCCCCAAGCCAGGGGCTCAAGCGTCTGAGAAGACAGCCCCAGGGAGGGAAGCCAGCGAGTGCTGCACTTCCCCAGCAAGGAGGGGTGATGCCAGGAGCGCTGGGTACCAAGGCCTCAGCTCGCACCACCCGAGAGCCTCATCCTCACCCCGGCCCTCCACGGCTACCCCCAGGGCAAGGGGAGGGGCAGGACTCCCCCGTCCCAGTGTACCCCACCCTTGTCACGGGAAAGGGGCACCGAGGGCACCCTGGCTGCAGTTCTGCCCCGATGGCGCTGCGTGCCATATTGCAGAGCCGGAGAGGTCACTGGGCAGTGCTGGGCTGTTCCCGGGCTGCGTGTTCCCGCTCCTTGGCTTGGGGCCAGGAGAGCCAGCCCCGGGGCAGCCGCACCGCTCTGGCAGGCCCCCCCGACAGGCCATGCTTGTGGGCCGGAGAAGACTGGCTCTTCCTGCCCAGGAACCGTCCTCTCATTCCACACTTAACGCTGTGCCCTGCAATCCTCTCCTGCCGCCTGCTCCAGGCGGAGGTGCCCACGGCAGTGCCAGCCTGCCCCCCCGGGGTTGTTCAGGGATGTTGGTCTGTGTCATGGTTACCCTGTGACATGGGCACATGTTCAGTTGGGGGGCAGGGTGGGGGTTGGAGGGCCACGTTCCCGCGAGGGGGCTGGGAGAGAGAAAGAACGAAAGATGAACTGAAAGAGAAATTGAGAAGAAAGGAGTGTGAGCCGGAGAAAGGGAGGGAGAAAGAGGCCGAGCGAGGCAGCGGGGCTGGGGAGGGAGGAGGAGGAAACACAGCAAGTTAGGGGAGGGAGGGAGTGAAGCTGGCAGGGGAGGTGCTCGGACCCACGGAGGGGGAGCAGCAGAAAGTGGTACCGGGCAGGAATGGGCCAGCAGTCTCAGCGTGTTTCTGAGTGTCCGTAGGAATTTCCAGGGGTCTCTCTGCCCTGCAGGGAGCGTGTGATAGTCCAGGCAGTGAGCAGTGCCAAGAACTGGCAGGCAGGGGAGGGAGGGAGTGTCACGTGCCGGGGCTGGAGAGACATCTGCCAGCCTGTTAAAAGCCCCTGCCTGCAGAGCTGAGAAAACCACTTGGCTCCCCCATGGGTCCTGGTTCCTGGGCGCCCATCACCTGCTGCCATCTGCCTGGGACTGGCACTGCCAACTGCTTCATCCTGTCATCTAGATGCCGTGAGCACCACACTGGCAGCTGCTGTCGGCCTGACCCGGGCGGATGGCGGTGCCAAGGCTGGAGGGGAGCTGAGGGGGCTCCCAGGCTCCACATGGCAGCTGCCTATTGGTGGCGGATGGCTAGGGGGTCTGAGCTGCGGCTGCTGCCCGCCTTGGAGAACAGTGGGGCCTTGGGGAGCTGGGGAGGGGAGTGAAGGGAGCCGGGTGTCTGCAGGCATGGAGGGCAGAGGAAGCAACAGCCCGTGGCCAGGCAGTGGTTAATCTACACCCCCCTTTGCCTCACGCGAACAGCAATAACTGATGCTCCCGCCCCACAGAGATTTCAAAGCACCCTGCACATACACAGATCAAGTCACCCAGGGCTGAAATGCAGCCACCTCTGGGGTGGAACACTGCAGCAGCTGAACAGCACACCGCAATACCACAGTTTCGGACAGGAAGTAAAGAGGACTGTATCCCACTGACACTGCCGGGGTGACGCCGGACCAGCAGAACGCATGTGGCCGGGATGTTTTGGGCTAAGTCTGCTCTTAGGGAAAAGGCTGTGGGATATTTAATGGCCAAAAGCAGCGGCTTGGAGCTCCCTGTGACCCAGATGGGCACCAGCACCACCCTGTGTTAACCTCTGTGGTCTCCCAAGAGCCAGCTGCACTTGACCCTGCTGACCCTGACCAGGACGCCGTCCTTGCACCAGCGGCCTCAACCTGAGTCACTTCACACACCCCTGGCGCTGGCATCATGCAGGTGCACGAGGAGGCCTGCAGTGCATCAGGATGCTAAGGGCTGGTGTGCCCCCCAAGTCCTGCCCCGCTTGTTTATCCCGCAGCCTCCTGGCATATCGATCCCGGCTCGACAATGGCTCCCAGCCTGGGCCAGAAACCCACAACAACCCCCTCGCTCGTGTCGTCATTCAGTGGGACGAGACCCTGGGGGTGCTGGGAGTAACACGTTGCCCCTTGTGCACCCGAACAGCCTGGGGCTGGATTCGGGCTGCTGCCCAGCCCTGGACCAACCTGTGTTAAATTTAACTTCCCAGCTCTGTGACTAAGCTCGCTGGCTGCAACAGAATCCTGCAGTGAACTAGCTGGCCTGCTACCACCTGCCCTGCCAGCCCTGCCATGGCCCAGGCTGGAAAGACGGAATGAGGAACCCGCCCTCCTCCTGTCAGCCCTGATGCAAGCCCAGTGCATGGCAGATTGGCTGGGAGACGGGGACCTGTGTGCAGCTAATTGCAGTACTGCATCAGGGGCTTGTTTACCAGCTGTTTATCCCATCCAGATGCAGAGAGTGGCTTAATCAAGGCTAATTGCTTGGGAGAATCCCACACATCTTGCCGTGTGGAGACATGCACTCAGCCTCCATCCTACCCCCCGGCTCTGCAGAGAGCCAGCTGAGCCGCGCCATCCTCCTGGCATCCTCGCGGTGCCACCAGCTGTCCCCGCTGGCACAGGAACTGCCTGCTGCCCCTCAGATCACTGCCTCTCCGTCGGACATCACGGCTCATTTGACTAGCAGCAGTAACCTGGTGCTGGGTGGACGGAGAGCCCCTGGCTGGCTGCAGCCCAGTGCTCCCAGCCGAGCACATGCGACCAAGACACCTCCCCAGTGGCCAGAGCAGGAGGCTTGACAGCAGAAAGTCACTCACTTTGGGTTTGAAGCCACGTTAGTGAAGGTGGGTGATTACCAGCCCTGGAGAGCAGCTCTCTGCTATACTGTCCCTCCAAGGTGCCCCTCTGCAGCTGTGGGTCTAGCCCACAGACTCAGGGCTGTGAGCCTCACTCCCACCTGTGGCTGAGCTCAGGAGGGACCTGGGGGGTATTTAAGGTGCTGATGGGGACTCAGGAAACCTTCTGTCACTGTGACCTCGTGCCCTGGCTTCTTGCTGCTCCCAGCAGGGAAATAACCTCACTTGGTCCATTTAGACTGCAGGGTCTTGGGGGCAGGGACTGGCTTTCCCTGTGTTTTTGCCACACCCAGCACTGGCTGTAAAACACATACTAAGAACTCCCATGCAGGGACTGAAGGGAGGTCCCCAAGCTCTATTTGGTCCTTGGCCTCTCTCGTGGGACTCCCCAGAGGAGGGGTGAGTGCAGAGCCCACTACGGTGCCACTTACCCACCGGGAGCTTTTCAAAGCCTTTGGCTTCTAGACCCCAGCTACTCGTACAGACACCGGGCTGTGACCTCCCCAGCTCACCCAACAGCTTGGCTCATGACCCAGCTGCCGGTCACCCCACATCTGGGCCCCCATGCCCTTGGGGCTGGGTTTGTCCCAGTGCATTCTGGGAAAGTATGGGCAACTCCCCCTGAGTGCTCCAGCTGGGCCAGGCTGTGCCAAGAGTGTGGCACCTGAGGGCGTTCTGGGATGTCCATCGGCCGCACCGGCGCTATCTGCCTGGCTGGACCGGGCACAGGAAGGCAGTGATGTGCCAGCAGGCCCTGGCAGGTTGGTTGCCATAAGAACTTGCCATGTGGGCACAAAGCAGGCTTAGAACCACTTATGCCACTAGCTGGCTGCAGACCCGTTCCAGCGACACGCCTGGATGCCCCGATGGCTGCAGCCAGCCTGGACTCCCATGAGAATCAGGCCAGTGGGGCAGACAGACCTT